CCAAAGAATGGACTTTCCCCCAGAGTCCTTAGTAAGGAATGCAATCCTGCTGACATCTTGATTTTAGCCCAGTGACACCTCTGTCAGAATTCTGACCTACAGAACTATAAAAATGATAAATTTGTGTTATCTTAAACCATGAAGTTTGTAATTTTTTTATAATAGCAATAGAAAACTAGTTATCCTTAGGTTAAGTGAAGTGAAGTCGCTCAGTCGTATCCGACTCTTTGTGACCCCATGGACTGTAGCCCACCAGGCTCCTCCGTCCATGGGATTCTCCAGGCAAGAATTCTGGAGTGGGTAGTCATAGGTTACAGACTACAAAAACTTGAGGCAGTCATAAAAAGTGAAATGAAACAGAAGACAAAGCTTTCAGGAAATGTTGGTCTAAATGCTCAAAGTGTGTGTGTCCTGATTTTGTGATATTCTTAGAGATCCACAGAGCCTCTTGTACGTACACATCATTCTTCAACTAATTATGAGCATGAGAAGGGAAGGATGTTGGATACTCGTTCTGTTTTATTTTTTACCCAGGGAGTTAATCAGTTAAATCATATGTAATACACACAGAAGATAAAATTTTCAAAGTGTATTGGTTTAGAGGCAACTATGGCAATTGTTAATAACATGCCATTGTCAAACTCGCTCTTTCCGGTCCTCAGTTTCACCTGTGCTGTATTTAAAAGGGTTCATTCGGAAAAGATGGCTCTGCAACAAATGCGTTGTATGAGAATATTCTTTGAATCTAAAATTTTCGCTGAGTTGTGGCAACACACATGAGGGCTTGATACAAAATTCTGACATGTTAATTGTAACTTCCAATTATTGGAAATATACACTCCTAGACACATGGTTTATTGGAGCATATGGTTTTTGCTCGCAGACCCTGCACCTTTGGTATATTATATTCTGAATGTTTTATTATATTGCAATCCTACAGTCTCACTGAGTTACTCCATCTTTATCAACTCATTTTTTTCCCTATTCTGTCCCTGCAGTCTTTGCAGCCAAACTCAGCCCTCAACCCTCCCCACATAACATGCACAATAGTGACACAACAGAATATTTAAAACTCTATAAGCCCCTGGTGAGCTGGACTTGGCAAGCAGGTTGGGTCTGCTGCCCCTATACAGAGTTCTGGGGAAATACCACACTTTTACCTAACCTTCATATGGAGCCTACCTGTCTTTCTGACTCATCTTCTGCCTGCCTTCTGGTTTATATGCTGGAACTACTGGAGCCAAGCTGTAACAAAACTGAGGCTTCAGCCTTTCAGGGAAGAGCTGAAAATCTCTTACCCCAAGAGTTTGCTTCCACTAGCTTTTCTGACTGGCACAGAACTCTGTGATATACGCACCTGGAAGCTGCTGCTTCTTTAAAACCCTGCCTTCACTTGCCACAGATTCCACAGATTTGGGCTAGCCTCATTCCGTGGCCTTGGTTGTTCATATGTGGTTTCCTCTAAGCTGGGCTGGAGATCCTTTCAGCTGCCCCACCTTGTTTTCCACAGGCTCTGATTCTCAGCAGCCCCTGCTGGTCCCTCCCCCACTCCCCCGCCCCACCCCCAACTCCTGCTCCAAACACATAGCATACTTCAAAGCCACCTTAATGAAATCAAATTATTTTTTTTAAAACAAATTATCTGCAGATTGTCATCTAATATAGCCAAATGTTTTCCTTTTATTTGTCCCTTTCTCACAATATACCATTCATAATCAAATCAGCTCTTGCCAAACAAATTTTAAATATCTCATTTTATATGTACACATTACAAGTTTAAAGCCACTTTATACATTATAGATTCAGTTCAATCTCTTAAGTGGCAGGACAGGACAATAAATGTCGCCATTCTCTCCGGTGGACTGTGTAGTCTGGTGTGGCAGAGAAAGACCTTCTCACAGCACATCCTCTGACTCTGCAGATATGACCCCAGATGCACATCCCTCTGGGGAGGAGAGGGGGACAAATAACAACTTCCCCTAAATACCAAGATAATTTGTAGAAAGGCTATATGGTTACAAAAGCATTTTGCCAGAGCTTAAGGAAATGAAACAAGAACAAGTGCAAAAGACAGTGAATTTCAAGTAAGAATGGGCTCAAACACTTTAAATCCAAAAATAATCTGTGTACCCTAGAGCTTGGGGACCGTCTGCCTTGGCAGACCACAATCCTGGAGCCATGTGTCCCCAGACAACTAAAGAAGATAATTCAAAAGGATTTACCTGTGGGTACAGGCTTTTAATGCTGACAAATATGGCTGGTTTGGAAGGCAGGTGCCTTCCGCAGCTTTTATTTGCTGTGGAGTTTTTAATGTATGTAATGCTGTTTTAATTTTGTTTCTAAGATCCTATTTTCTTAGACTTGGTCCTATGAACTAAGGATTTGCCAGTCATAGTGCCTTTCAAGAACAACATCCTGAGACATTTTTCTTTAAAATTATCTACTACAACTTTCTCACCGTCTTCTTCCTCTTTGGCCTCCAACAACCTTGCCTCTCACCTTAACCTCTCAATCAACACAACCCACCCAACGTCATCAGTGATCTCTTTGCCAGATTAAGTGGCCTCTTATTCTGGCAATCAGTTCTTTGTGTTTGAAACTCTCAGGCCTTCTTGACAACCTTCTTAGCAGCAATTTTAGAAATATAAAAATGCCCTAATTCTCCTATATTTTCCTGTGGAATACTTCTTGGGTTTGATTATTTTTTACTTTCTTTTTAATAAAGGCTTACCAATTAATCAACTTAAAAACCTCTACTGGAAATTACTGCTCTTTTTGTGACCTAGCTGATAGAATAGACTGAGTTTTGAATGAAGTTCCATAGGAAGCAAACAATCTATACAACTCCTGATCTATTGTATGATTGGGAGTATACATTTTGCAAATATTTAAAGCAGGTTTCGCAGCATTATTGACATGTTGACTAGCAAACAGTGAGAGTAACCACTAATGATACCCATTACACCAGAATTCCAACTACCTTTGAATGTTCTACAAGTTTCAGGAAGGCCAAGAAAGAAGAAATAGGCCAGAGACTTAATAATACAGTATAAAGACTGATTTCTAACATATATTGATCACAAATGTGTGCCTCATTGGGGCCCAAGATTCACACTTTCCGAAAGGCGAAGTCTAGGCTTAGGCACTGACTACAAAGAGCTATCTATTCCTAGCCAGCAATTTACGCAAACCATCATTAAAATTCTAAATATCATTAAATTTGACAGTCATTCAAATGCACACAGAATAAGAGGATCAGCTATGAATGAAAAGGACGTCAATGTTAAATCCTTAATGCTTATATGTATTTCTCCCATTGGAGATGGTGTTCCTAATTGAATACTTTTCTGTATCTTCAGATAAGATTCTGCATCCCAAAGTCATACATAGTTATAATATGTATATGCTTTCTTTTTTCTACAAAAGAGTTTATTTAACCTCTTTAGTTACCAAATTTTAAGGCCATGATGAATACTGATTAACCTTGGGAACCAAAGAGTAAACATAAAAACAACTTCTTACTCTTAAGTTCGGGTTTAACAACGTGCTAATAGCCCATAATGAAGATAGCAGCCATCAGTTAATCAACCCATTAAGCTGGGATCAGAAGTGTCAACTCAAGTACAGTCTACTAATTTACTGACCCTTAATGGGTCAGCAAGATCTATAACCCAAAGACTGATCTTTCTGCTTCTGTTAAAGTCACTTTGGAGGCCAATTCACTTCCTTCCATGATTATGATCTCTGACCTGGTTTGGGGAGGGAGTCCACATAAAATCCATTTATGAGAAAGTGCGTGGGTTACTGAGTAATGGAAGCTCAAGCTAACTGGTGAGTTAAGTGTCTGAGTAGAAGCTCTTTAGGGATGTATCAACTTTTTTTTTTTTTCCCTTAAGTCCACACAACCATGAAAATAGACATGTAGGATCTTCAGTGGGAACTTCTGACTCCAAAAGTTCTGCGTTTCTGAGTTAGTTAAGGCTTGACACCTATTTCCATTCCTATTCTGCTCTGTGACTGAATCTTAGTTTTTGAAATGTCAATGGGTCAAAAAGAACTGAGGAGAGAGTTGGCAAGATGTAGGGCTATGCCTGCCAAATAATAAAGTAAGTTTTGCTTTATTAAAGATGTAGTAGGTTATATAGAAAGTTGCTTTGGTAATAAGCAAAAACAGATATAGTTCAGTTGAATCTAATAAGTGAGACCGTTACCTAGTGTTTGCTACTTTCAAGGGGAAGGAGAGAAAAAGAGAAGTATACCTTATTTCAGATGGCCTCTGAGAGTGTATAATCAAAATTATGAAACAAATATTCATTCACTTGAATCACAATTGTATAGAAAACATAAAATTGCCACAATAACACAAGTTTTTGTGCCTTTTTTTTTAATAGCAGCATTTTCTTTCTCAGGTGATAAAGTTCACTGAACTACAAATGACAATGTCCATTAGCAACCTGTTAGCCATGGGATATCTGAGACTCAGACATATGCAAGAGAGGCCACTAGACTTGGTTCTGTTACCAGTGTCCCCAGCCAAGCCTGTGGCAAGGTTACTTAAACACCGCCAACTCCAGTCTTGCTCTGACAGGCCTGGCTGTGATTTCCCCCCAAATAAGACACAGATTAAGACATATTAACTGAGGTTCCGGAAAGGAGAAGAGGAAGAAAGGGCACACTACTAAATATGCACTAAACATTAAAAAAGAAAAAAAGTTTTATGGAAGGAAAAATTGAGATTAAGAGGCTTAGGATTTGTTTTTTCTCTCTACAAAGGAAATGAGTCATTTTCATGCCAATGATGCTCGAAGGATTCCTGCAAAGGAAACCATCTTCGCTAGCAAAAGAGAGCCTCCCTCTGCTGTGGGTGACATTGCCCTCTATTTCTTCCCCTATTTGTTGCCTTTGTCTTCCTCCCCTGTCATTAGCCAACCGCCTGGTATCACCGTGCCAAGCTCAGCACAAAGGCAGCTAAAAGCCTCTGTAGGAACAACAGTTTTTTCCTACCGGGAAAAAAGCGAACCCCGGGCCAAAAAGATGAGGAAAGGTTCAGCCTTTGGGAAAGCTCTCACAGACGGGGGGGGCTTTGGCAAGGTCAGCCTTCGGAGGCGACCCCCGGCGCGCAGGTGCTCAACCTTAGGGCCAGCCTGAGGGACGCCAGGAGGGGAGCAGGACAGGAGGGGGAGCAGGAGACAGGGAGCGAGTCCTCGTCGGAGGCCGCTGGACCAGAGGCGGGAAGGCTGGGGCCGGGCTCCGAGCTGCCACCCCGCCCTCCGCACCGCGCCTGCCGCGGGGTCACTGCCGGGCCCCACCTCCCTGGCTGCGGCGCGCTCCGCCTCGGTCCTCCTCGGTCCGGGAGGTGGCGTGGCTGGGCGAGCGCGCCCCGCGAGGGAGGGCCTGACCCCGGGGGCCATGGACCAGAGGAGGGGGTCCAGCTCTGCACGCGGCTCTGCAGCTCCCTCCCCGACTCTCCATCCCTTCCCGGCGGCGGCTACGGCCGCAGCGCCGAGGACCCCAGCGGCCGCGTCGCCGAAGTCTCCGCAGAGCCCAGCTGCGCCGGGGGCCGGAGGAGGGGGCTGGGGCGGCGGGGGAGGGGCGGGGGGCGGAGGCCGGGGGGGCGGGGTGGCGGCGGGGGCGGCGCGTGGGGCGGCGGCGTCACTTACCCGGCCGGGGCGCGGGGGCAGCTCGCCGACTCCTCGAGGGCCGCGGCGGCTGGGGGCCGGCGGTCGCGCGGCCCAGGCGCTGCCAAATGTAAACAATCCGCCATGATTTCTTTGTTTAGCTAATTGAACCTGCCGCCGTCGCGAGTCCCGGGCGCTCCCTCCTCTCCCCGGCCCCCGTCGCTCGCGCGCGCTTTCATTTATTTGTCGTCCCCCACCCCGCTCCTCCGTCTTCCCCTCTTGTCTTTGGCCTCAGGAGCGGCTTCTCATGGAAGTCGAGGCAGTGGAGTGGTTGGTACGGGGAGTGCGGTGGTGGTTTTTAGAAATACAGGTAAAAACATACCCAAATCTCAAGCTGAGGTGCAGTTGCTGAAAGAGGAGGAGGGTGTTTCCCTCCCTCCTTTCCTCCCGCCTTTCCCGCCACCCCCCCACCCCCACTTATTAGACTAGCCTCCGTGGAAAGTGCCAGATAAATGGGGTGCAATTTCCAGTCACCTTTCCTTGCCACCTAACTCTCCAGTACCCAAGTTCTCAGGCGGATTTTGGACTCTGCCGAAGCACTGGGTTCTTCACTTACTTTGAGAACCCCAACTCTTGAGTGATGTCCGGCTGCCTAAGGGCGCGCGGAATAGTCCCCGCCACGCCAGGGCGGAATAAACAGGGTAAAGCCCGCTCCTCGGTAACGGGGGGTCTGTTGGCGTCAACTCCACACCTTTAAGAAAACGCCGGGATTTACACACTCACCCACGCCCGTGCACACACCATCCAAACTAGCGCCAACACAGTGGGAAGGTACAGGGACGGGACGTTTCTGCCTTATATTTGCATAAATTATAGGTACTTTTCTTTCCACAATTCTTCAGGGAGGAGGTAGACTGAGCGTCTATACTGAGTTTAAAAGTTCGAGGAGACAGGTCCTGGTGGGAAGGAAGGCTTAGCAACCATGTATGTGACCTTCTATGGGTGGAAATGCATTTGAACACCAGCTTTCACTACAGTTAATACAGGCATCTTTTAAGTCCTGTTCTAGGTATGTTTATGATGAGAATCGGGGTAATCCGTGGCAAGAAAATTCTAGGGTTATGGTCTCATTTATTTAGAAAAAAAAGGACTTCGGTGTCACTCCTATTTTTAACCACTGTGTTGACTGTATACCAATGATTAAATACTTTAATTCGTAAGGAGGATTGAAAGTCATCTACATCTTGCAGTGAAACGGTGCCCTTAAATTATCAGAATTAATCTCATTAAAAGAAGTTATTGCTTTACCTGCTTAATTCTTGTTGGGAAAGCACTGTTAAATAGAGTAATGTCATCCTTCAAGTTTGAACCAACCATTTACAAGTCATAGAATATATTGGTTTTAAGTGTAGAGGGGCCATCTGCTCTGATCAAGAGAACTGAACTAAGAAATATTTACACTGTAGGCCAGGCACTGTGGTGGTTTAAACCTCTGGGTCAATTAATAAATAAGTGTTCAAGCATTCTGATTATATAAGAAGAAAAAGGTATTGCCAAGCAATCAAAATGACCTCAGTATACACATAATTTTTGTCTATTCCCTCAGGAAAATTCTACAGAAGTTATAACTGTGCTTTTTCTCCACACCTGTGATGTTGTTCTCTATAGGAGGCTGTTTTGCATGTTTTCCCTAATTCTAACTTAAGTTTGACCCTGTGAAACCCATATTTACCCTCTCCTAATGCTTGTACCTAAATGCTCTTGGCATCATTTATGAAACTTCTGAGGTTCAGAACTATGTGATCAAGGCCTTTGAGTAGGAAATTCCTATACTCAGTATCTGAAAAAAAAAAAAAAGTGTTGCATGAAAATTAGACTGAAGAAGCCATAGATTCACTTTTAAAGTTAGATGAAAGAAATGTGTTTTGCATTAATTTATTTAAAGAGCTGGCCTGCTTGTATGGAATTGCGGATCCGTATTTTTCTCATACGTTTGAATTTTGCGTATTTGCACCAGATTCACTGCATGTGTCACTTATCATGAACTGAGATTTGTTTGGGAAGTTGGAGGGAGAGGGACAAATGGAGCCGCTCTTGAGCTTATTCCAGTTTCTAGCGTCTCTCCTTAACAAAGTATATTTGACAGATTCAGTCTTTGTGTATCTCCTTTACTCTTACACTCCTTCCACATTCACAACACTTCACTTCTGGTTATATTTTTCCACTTACACCAAGCAGTTCTCCACAGCACAAGCTGTGTGGCCTACAGTTTAACTCAGTTGTGGACTGTCTACCTGGAGATGGTGTTAGATCCCACCAGTTAGGGCTCAGTCCTATATGACAGCTCCCAGCCCATTTCAGATGCGGATCAGAAATAGTCTGTCCCTAGATTAGCTAGACTCTTGAGAGTCTCTTGGACTGCAAGATCAAACCAGTCAATCTTAAAGGAAATGAGTCCTGAATATTCATTGGAAGGACTGATGCTGAAGCTAAAACTCCAATACTTTATTTTCCTGATGCAAAGAACTGACTCATCAGAAAAGACCCTGATGCTGGGAAAGATTGAAGGCAGGAGGAGAAGGGGATGACAGAGGATAAGATGGTTGGATGGCATCACCAACTCAATGACCATGAGTTTGAGTAAGTGCCAGGAGTTGGTGATGGACAAGGAAGCCTAGCATGCTGCAGTCCATGGGGTTGCGAAGAGTCGGACATGACTGAGTGACTGAACTGAACTGAGATTACCTGCAGCTCCTCTCTGACTTGGCCACAAATCAGAGGTACCCTGACCTCTTTCCCCTTTGGATTTAATTAATTTGCTACAGCAGCTCACAGGACTGAGAGAAACATTTACTTACACTTAGTAGTTTATTAAAAGATACAGATGAACAGCCAGATGAAGAGATACATAGGGCAGTGTCTGGGAGCCTCGAGAGCACAGGAGCTTCTGTCCTGTGGAGCTGGGGTGCATCACCTCCTGGCGTAGATATGCTTGATAACCTGGAAGTTCTCCAAACCCTGTATTTTGAGGGTATTTATGGAAGCTTTAGTATGTAGAATGATCAATCATTAACTGTTTTCAGCCTTTCCCCCTTCTCAAGAGAATGAGGGCTGGAGCTGAAAATTTTAAGCTTCTCATCATGGTTTTGATCTTTCCAGTGACCAGTAGTCCATCCAGAGTGCCTCAAGAGAACAAAAGTTGCTCCTAGGGGTCTTATCATTTAGGAATTTGCAATGTCAGGGACAGGTCACAGATCAGATATCACAAGAGATGCTCCTAGGGCTCTTATATCACTTAGGAATTTACAAGAGTTTCAAGAGACTTGTGTCAGAAACTATGGGCAGAGACATACACACACATGCACATATGTACTTTTCACATGAAAAGTGAAAGTGTTAGTTGCTCAGTCATGTACGACTTTGCAACCCCATGGACTGTAGCCTGCCAGGCTCCCCCATCCATGGGATTCTCTAGGAAAGAACACTGGAGTGGGTTGACATTTCCTCCTCCAGAGGATCTTCCTGACCCAGAGATGGAACCCAGACACAGAGATCTCCTGTGTCTCCTGGATTCTTTACCACTAGTGCCACCTGGGAAACCCATATAAGCCTTTAGGCTTTTATGGGCTTATATACATATTTTTATGGGCTTATATATAGTGTGCCTAAACTAAGTTATCACTAGCCCTATGAAAACGGCACTGGTGATTACTAACATTTCTATGCTACATGTGTCAAGTCATTGAGTCCTGAGCAAACCATTTTCAGTATTCACAGTTTTGTGACACTTTCCTTTGCACAGTTCTCCCTCACCTCATTTGGCCATCACTTGAAATGCATTACGTTCTTACCTGTTTCCATCTAAGATAAAGTTGGGCTACTTAGCACCCAACTCTAGACACAAATTAAAATGATCATGAATATACTTTGTATATTGTTTCTTTGATTTGATTTCTTTTCCTCAATTTTAAATCTATTAAACTGTTCCTCCTAAAAATTAAGCATATTATAATGATATTTTCATGGTTCCTCAAGTTATACTGTCTACTTGCAAAATATGTCCATTTGTGAGGAAAAGCACAACTCTTCTATTACAGCTCCCAAACATTCATTAGGTTTGCAGGAAATAAAATTTGTTTCACTCTTGGAAAATGTTTTAGTTTAAGATTATTTTTCAAATTCAAAGAGAATAAAAATTGGAAAACTCATGCATTCTGTAGTTTGGGAGATGAATATAAGGTTCTAATATACAGCAGAGTTAGGAAAAGATCAAATTCTCCTAACAGTTTTATTTTCCTTTGTTTTCTGGGAATCTGTAAGTACGGCATCCATGGCAAACCCGAAGAGAATTGCAGGGTCTTGACAATGCTTCTCCCTGCACTTGGCACAGGTATTTGGGAAACAAATTTCCTACTTCTAGCCAGACACTTCTTGGAATGGGTGGAGGATCATCTATGGGCACAGCTGCTGCTATACTTGAGGGGTCCCAGAACCCAGACACAGCTCTTTGAGCAGCCAAATGAGTATCTTCCCAAACCACTACCATCTCATTCAGTTTTTTTCAGCCTAAAATATTAAATTTAGCCCAAAGTGTTTTTAAAATTTAATTACACCCTTTGGAATCTGGGCTTTTGAAAACTGTTGTTTCTCCATTAAATAAACCAATATCTGGAATACATACATACATAAATGTATATGTTAAAAATATGTTTGGAAAACTCACTTTACTGTAACATACAGCATAGTAGGAAAAATAAATTCACAGTTCACACTTTCCTTTTTTTTTAAGATTTTCAGAAAATACCTACCAAGCTGCTATCTGTCCAGTTATGCATATACTTGAATGCAAAACAAATCTTATCACTCATATTAGTAGTAACACTATCGGGTAGGAAGAAATGAAAATGATTTCCACTTTTATGTCCTTATACTGTACACTCTTTTAAGATGGGTCTAGTAATGTTCTCTCTTCTATACAGAAGTAATAAATGCCATCTTTAACAGATAGTGATTATAATAATGATGCTCCCTTGCCAAAAGAAAAAGTAACAAAGGTATTTTAA